AGGGGGGTGTTGGAACAGGCCAGTCTAGACAAACGAGCAAGTTCCAGGTTCAGTGAGAAACCCTGCCTCAAAAAACCAAAGTGGAAAGTGACTGGAGAAGACACCCAGCTTTGCCCTTTGACTTACACGTCACACGATGCCACACCTGGAAACACAGATACTGCAACATCTCCCTTCTCCAAGGTCCCTAGAGCAGTGGCATTTTTAAAAGACAGTACATGGTAGAGAACTGGGCAGTGAGTGTGACTGGGGAAGGAGCACCCACCTGAGACAGGGAAAGGGTTCTTCTGGTGATGATGGTGACGGTGCAGTGGGAAGATCTCGCTTTGTCTTTTGTTTGCATTGCACGCTTGAGACAGGGTCTTAGGTAGCCTATACTGCCTTGAATCCTCTTCTAGACCTAGAACTCCTGTACTTCTTACCTCCTAACGCTGGGGATTACAATGTGTCGCCATACCTGACAGTATGAAGATTCATTTATTTATTTACTTTGAGACAAGGTCTCACTGTGTAGCTCTGGCTGTCATGGAACTCACTCTGTAGACCAGGCTGGCCTCAGACTCACAGAGATCCGGCTGGACTACCTCTGCCTCCGGAGTGCTGGAATGCTGGGATAAAAGGCGTGTGCTACCACCGCCCACCGCCCGGCTTCAGTATGAACATTCTTAATGCTGCCCATTGGTATGGTTTAAAAACCATCAATTTTTATATCCTTTTTCTTGTCTGTAATGCTTGCCTGCTAGCCCAGCTTGCTGCCATGGAGACAGCACATTTCCTCGTTGGTATCAGATCTCAAGTCTTTACTTGATCCTGTGTATGTGTTTTGTGCATATTTATTTACTGTTTGTGTGCATGTCCTAACGCCGGTGTGGAGGTCAGAGGACTCAGCTCTTTCCTTCTAACATGTGGATCCCAGATGTCACACTCAAGTTGTCAGGCTTAGTGGTGAGTGCCTTTGTGTGCTCAGCCATCTCCCTGACCCTGATATATGTATTTTTACCACAGTTAAAAATACAGAGCAGAGAGACCCCAGCACTTGGGAGTCAGAGGCAGTCAGATCTCTGTGAGTTGGTTTCAGGACAGCTAAGGGCTGTTAACACAGAGAAACCCTGTCTAAAAAAAAAAAAAAACAAAACAAAACAAATCTAGGCATGGTGGCCCTCATCCTTAATCCTAGCACTAGGGAGGCAGAGGCAGGTGGATCTCTGTGAGTTTGAGGCCAGCCTGGTCTACAGTGAGTTCCAGGCCAACCAGAGCTACAAAGTGAGACCTTGTCTCCACCCCCCCCACCTCTCCCCAGATGTATGTGTGTGCATGATGTGCATGTGTTCTTGTGTGCATAAGCTGCAGTTGATTTTTTTATTGTTTTTGTTTGTGCATAAGCTGCAGTTTATTTTTTTATTGTTTTTGTTTGCTTGCTTTTACTTATCGTTTTTTTGTTTTGTTTTGTTTTGTTTTTTAGATAGAGTCTATGTATCTCTACTGGGGCTGGAATAAATAAATAAAATTTAACTAAAACCAAGGACAAAGGCCCCTTCTGCTTCTGCTCCCTCGGGTGTCCATGTGGAGAATTGCAGGTCACCTCCCTAAACCACAGATTTCCCATTGTTCTCCAGCCCCTTTGGAGTCCAGGCTGCGACCCAGGAAGGCTGGGTGGGTTCAGATACCCTGCAGAAGCGGCGTGGCGAGACGCTTCCTTTTTTATTCCATAAAAGCTGCCTTTTCTCCGTGTCATTGCAGCTTTGCACACGGCCAGCAGACAGCGCAGCCCTCGCTTTGGGGAATGAGTCCCTGCAGCGCCCGCGGCTCCCGCAGTCCTCACGCGGACACGTGGCAGCCCTTCTCAGCCCTGCACACCGAAGTCCCCCTGGTGGACACTTCGGGTTGAAACTCGCAGTGGCCACTCTTGCGATCTGAGCCTGGTCAGCCCTGACAGCTGGCGCCAGCCTGCAGGGAGGGCAGGAAAACCTTGGGAGGGAAATTGCATCCGCGGCCCGGTGCGGCTTTCACATCATTGCCTCCACGGAAGTCGTTCCTATGGTTTGTTTCCTAAAAGCATTCGGCTATTTTCAGGCATAGACTGTGGCGCTGAGGCCTCAGACGCTGTTTCCCATTGAGGCAGCCTAGAAAGAGGGGGAAATCGTCTTGTTGTTAAGACAAAAAGTCTCTGCTGAAACCCCAGCTTCTAGACTTTCGGCGCAATTAGCATTTTCTGTGAAGGTGGCCAACATAGTGTTTCTTTTATATATTTCCAACTAAAATGTTAAAATATCGCCGGGTGTGGTGTCACGCTCCTTTAATTCCAGCACTTGGGAGGCGTAGACAGGAAGATCTCTGTGAATTCGAAGCCAGCCTGGTCTACAAAGCGAGTTCCAGGACAGCCAGGGCTGTTACACAGAGAAACGCTGTTAGGAAAAAAATAGAAGTTAAAATATCAATGGACTATCATCCTAAAGCCTAAGTGTATACACTGTCTTTATGTTGGCCACCATGACAGGGAATGTTAGTTGTGTTGAGTCTCCTGATGCTGGGACTTCAACCCATCTATGTGGTGATCCCACAGGCTTGAAGACTAGTCCACCTGGCACATCTCCCTGCAGCCCTCCCCCATCGACTCTACGCAGCTGTTTGGCCTCCCCCCTCCCCGCCCCCCAACAGCAGTCTGGCCTCCATCCCCCAACACATTCCCTTCTGCCTTTTGGGAATTCCCTTCCCCCTCCTTCAGCTGTTGGCAAATTCCCACAGTCCTCACCTCCTGGCATCACCCTGGATTCCACGTCTAAAATGGCTGCTTCCCTCCAGCCTTGAGTCCTTGCCTGATAGTGAGACTTTCTCAAACAGGGGCTTTCTGCAGGACTTTCTTATCTGCATCTCCAGGGCCTCCCCCACCAACACCCTATCTCCTGTCTGATCGTGCAGGTCCCCTAGCTTTCTATTACTGCAACAAAATACCCTGAGGATAGCAAGATAAAGTCTCGAGCTGACTCACAGTTCCGGTTACAGCCCACCATGGCTGGGGTGGTATGTGGTGCGGCATGCGTGTGTGCGTGTGTGTGATTATCCTCTCCTTCCACCACAAGGGGATTGGATTTATATTGTCAGACTTCAGAACAAAGAGCCCTTTACCCACTGAACAATTCTGCTCACCCCAAATACATACATATGGGAATTTTGCCTGCATGTATGTCTACATACCGCATGCATACATTGTGCCAGAAGAGGCCAGAAAAAGGTATAGGATCCCCTGGAACTATGGTTACAGACAGTTGTTAGCGCTTCATGTGGGTGCTGGGAATTAAGCCTGGGTCTTGTGGAAGAGCAGTCACACTCTTAGCCATCTCTTTAGCTATCCAAACTCTGACTTTGAAAATTAGTCATTCAAGGTCTTTCTTTGATGACCTCCCTGGTCATTCCAGTTTCTTCGCACCCTACCCATGTATATTCCCTGTTGCTGGGTTAACTTCGAGGTCCTTCCAGGGTCATTCCAGACGCATGTGTCAGTCCCTGCAAGCCACATGTAAAGTAGTGTTGCCTGTACTCCCAACACTCAGGAGGCTGAGGCTGAAGGACTACAAATTCAAGGCTGCAAAAGATGCAAAAACAAACAACTCCCTTGAACGCTCCTGTTGTGGGCCAGTCTTTTGGTACCCTGTGAAAATGTGCCTCTGTTTTACCTGGCCTGCCGAAGGCACCTTTTGATTGGATTAATAAAGAGCTGAGTGGCCAATAGTTAGGCAGGAGAGGACAGGCCTGACTCTGGGATAGAAACTCTGGGAAGAATCTGAAGTGTGCAGGATTCACCAGACAGACTCAGAGGAAGTAGGACACATTGTACTTAGGAGAGGTAATAAGCCACAGAGTAGAATATAAATGGGTTAACCTAAGTTTTGTTTGTTTGTTTGTTTTTGTTTGTTTGTTTGGAGACAGGGTTTCTCTGTGTAACAGCTCTAGCTGTTCTGGAACTTGCTTTGTACAACAGGCTGGCCTCAGACTCACAGAGATCTGCCTCCCAAGTGCTGGGATTACAGGCATGCACCACCACTGCCCAGCTTAATTTAAATTGTAAGAGCTAGTTGGGAACAAACCTAAGCTAAGGCTGAGCTTTCATACTTAATAAAAGTCTTCATGCTTCATTGTTCAGGAGCTGGCAGTTCAAAGAATGACCTGTACACCTCCTCACCCCCAACCCCACCCCGGGTTTCAACTAAAGTGCTTCCTGCTTGCACCTGTATAAAGGCCATGTCTACTACCCAGCTTTCCAGTGCTGCCACCTGTCCATCTTCTGAAGCTATTACATCAACCTTTCTCACTAGCCTTGGGAACAGGAATTATGTCCTGCTCCCTGGTGTGTACTTTGCACACAGAGCAAGCTTATTTTGGGGGGGGGGGGGAGGTTGAGACAGGGTTTCTCTGTGTAGCTTTGGAGGCTGTCCTGGAACTCACTCTGTAGACCAGACTGGCCTCAAACTCAGAGATCTGCCTGCCTCTGCCTCCTGAGTGCTGGGATTAAAGGCGTGCGCCACTGATGCCTGGCCAGAGCAAGATTTCAAACATTCCTTTAAAAATGGGTCGTGTTGGCCCTGGCCTAATGGCATATGCTTTAATCCTAGCACTCAGGAGGCAAAGGCAGGCCAGTATGAGTTCAAGGACAACCTGGTCTATATAGTAAATTCCAGGCCAGCCAGGTCTACACAGCAAGACCCTGTCTCAAATATATATGTGTGTGTGTGTACATAAATATATACACACATGTATATATATATATGTGTGTATATATATATTATATATGTGATATATTATATATATATATATATAGAGAGAGAGAGAGAGAGAGAGAGAGATCATGTTCAATTTGGAAAGAAAAAAGTCAGCATCACTTGAAAAAATTTATTGAAGCTGACATTGTCCTGCAGCCAAATAACTTTTTTTTTCTTTATGATTTTTTCTTATTTTACATATCAATCCCAGTTCCCTCTCCCTCCCTCCCTCCCTGCCAAATAACTTCTAGTACAGGTGGGTGACATTCTTCCAATTACAAGGCCCTTCTTCAAACCAAGACAGATCAACACCTGTTCCTTCTGCAAGGCAATTCAGCACTAACAGTCGCCTCCAGTGGGCTCTGAGGCTGGACATAGTTCAGGCTCTCTGGAATGTTTGTTTGCACACCTGGCCTTCACAGAACATTTCCTGTGACAGGAAGGGAGGGACGAAGAAAGAAAAAAGAAGTTGATGTACATTCTCAACATGTCTAATACCAATGTGTGGGGACTTTGCCTCCTGGTGCTAATCAATGCCGGGTCTTTTCTGCGCGTATTTCTCCCACTCTGACATGAAATGGCTATCAACAATTTAATCCCGACGTTCTCTCCTGCAGTGGTTTTATACTTTTTTTTTTTGAGAGAAGATCTCTTTACATTGCACTGGCTGTCCTGGAACTCATTATGTAGACCAGGTTGGTCTCAAACTCATAAAAATCTGCTGGTCTCTGCCTCCCAAGCCCTGGAATTAAAGATGTTCAGTGCCACACTCGGCCCCAATTTCACACTTTTTTTTTTTTTTTTTTTTTTTTTTTTTTTTTGAGACAGGGTTTCTCAGTATTGCTTTGCATCCTGTCCTGGAACTAGCTCTGTAGACCAGGGTGGCCACCAATACCCGGCTTCCAATTTTATTCTTTCTAAAGGCAGAACTTTATACCTTCTAGCTTGTGTTTTAGAGCTATTGATTGGTTTGCACTCTAAGTTCTGGTTGTGAAACGAATCAGTACCTCCTTTCTGAGGAGAAAGGCCGCAAAGCAGCAAGAGGCAGCGAGGGAGCCGTGCCCCGGCCTCTCCAGGAACAAGACACAGGCACCACACACCTGAGTTTTATCGATAGCAGACACCACCCTGAAATACTATTTCATCTAGTCCAAGCTACTCTCCAACGTGTTGTGTAGTTGAAGATGACCCTGAACTTCTGATGCTTCTGCTCCCACCTCCCAATTTCTGAGCTTACAGATGTGGGCTCAGATTCAGGGTTTCACACATGCTGAGCAAGCACTCTACCAACTCAGCTATACTGCCCCTGAAACTGTTTTCTAAATGGAACTTGAAGCAGAGCCAGAGTAGACACACACACACATACACACACATAAACACACACACACAAACACTCTCACACAAACACTCACACACATACACACTCACACATACACACACATATAAACACTCGCACATACACACACTCACATACACAAACACTCACACACACTCACACACAAACTCATACACACATGCACACATATACACACACACTCACACATGCACACATACACTCACATACACACATACTCACACACACACATACAAACACTCGCACATACACACCACTCATACATACACAAACACTCACACACACAATACACATACACACAAACACACACACTCTCACACACACATACTCACACATACTCACACACACTCACACATACACACTCACATACATTCACACATAAACACAAACACACACACACATTCACACTCACACATACACACACAAACACTCACACATACACACATACACTCACACATACACACTCACACATACACACATACTCACACACATACACACACACTCACACATACACTCACACATAAACACAAACACACACACACATTCACACTCACACATACACACATTCACACACACATTTTAAATGAGCATAGATGTTTTATCTGCATGTATATCTGTGTGAAGTTGTTAGAACTCCTGGAGCTGTAGTCACAGACAGCTGTGAGCTGCCATGTGGTGGCTGGGAATTGAACTCAGGACCTCTGGAAGAGCAGCCAATGCTCCCAACTCTCTCCAAGCTCCTTAATACATATATTTTAAAAATTCATGGTGAATTCAGCCTAGAGTGGTGGCACATTCCTTTAATCCCAGCACTCAGGAGGCAGTGGCAGACAGATCTCTCTGAGCTTGAGACTTGTGTGGTCTACATAGTGAATTCCAGGACAGCCAAGGCTATGTAGAGAGACTTAAACTTTCCTCCCCCTAAAATACGGCTTTTAAAGAATAAAATGGTAGGTACCAGGTGGAGCTGGTCCCCTTCAATCCAATGGCTCCAGCCTCTGTTCTTCTTCTCCCCTCTCTGTACACAAGTGAGTTTGTCATTCTCCCAGGTAACCAAGCTCTGTGTGAAGGAAGAGACAAAGCGATCCTTGCACTGGTAAGGTCCCTCCATATTGCCAGGTAGAATGCATGCCGAGTTAACCTTGTGAAACGAGCAGCCTTTGTCACACTTAAAAATGTTTCTATTTTATTATGTGTTTGTGTGGCCTGCACATATGCATGTGCACTGTGTACATGTCAGTGCTCACACAGGTCAGAAGTAGGTGTCCCTGGAGTTGGCGTTGCAGGTGGCTGTGGGCATTGAATCTCAGGTTCTCTACAAGGGCAGTAAATGCTTTTAACAGCTGGGCCATCTCTCCAGCCCCAAGCCTGTAGACGGTGGGTCTGTCCCGCCTGCTCCTAAGGCTGTTTGACCCCAAATAATCATAATGAGGCTTATATACATTATAAACAGTTTGGCTGATGACTCGGGCTTCTTATTGGCTAGTTCTCTCTTAATTATTAACCCATTTCTATTAATCTAACCACTTCCAATAGTCTTGGCTTACTGGAGAATACTTGGACCTGTTACTCCTTCAGCAGCTACATGGCATCTCCCTGGTGGCTCCCCTGCATCCTCTCCCCAGAATTCTCCTCCTCTGATAGCTCCATGTATACTCCCTGCCTGGCTACTGGCCAATCAGTGTTTTATTCATCAACCAATAAGAGAGACATATATACCGAAGGACACCCCCCCCCCGTTACATCCTATGTCCCTTCTTTCTTTTTCTACAGAACTAGAAATTTTTTTTTAAAATACTTTATTTAACTTTGTGTTGATGTAAAGGTATCAGATCCCCTGGAAATGGAGTTACAGACAGTTGTGAGCTGCCATGTGGGTGCTGGAAATTGAACTCAGGTCCTCTGGAAGAGCAGTCAGTGCTCTGAACCACTGAGCCATCTCTCCAGCCCCCAGAACTAGAAATTTTACTTGAGCCTCATGCATGCTGAGAGCCCCACAACTTAGCCACACCCTCACCCCTTACCGTGCATTTTCTGTTATCCAAGCCTTTGTTATCTTCCTCAAACTCTTCTCCAACCTTGAATTTAACGAGATAGTTCCTTAGGCTGCTGTATGTGTGGATGGTAAATGAATTCCCATTTTGTTCAATCACCTTCTGTGGCTTCAGCAGCTTGGCGATCTTACGAGTTGCAAAGTCAATACCTGGAAAGTTATTGTTATTCTAGTTTTGATTTTAATACTTTACATTTATTTATGTGTGGGTGTGTAAGTCAGAGGACAACTTGTTTTAAAACAGGGTCTTACATTTATAGTCTATCTGTCTGGTCTACAAAGCCACACAAAGAAACCCTGTCTCCACACCCCCCCCACCCCCGCAAAAAAAAAAATCGCTTTTACTGGGGTGGTGGTGGAATCTGGTCTACTTGAAGGGAAAAGGAAGCGTTTGTCAAGTAGCAAGCATATCAAGGTATGGTAGTTTAGGCCTGTAATCCCTATACTTGGGAGGCTGAGACAGGGGGACTTTCTGGAGTCAGAGACCAGCCTTGTCTACATAATGAGGTCTGGACCAGCTTGACCCACAAAGGAGATCCTATCTCAAAATAGACAAACAAAAAACCCAAACAAATACATCCCAGAACCAGCACTAACAAGCAGAAGGGTCCTCACGTAATAACAAATGCTGATAACTGCCAAATCTGTGAAATCAGAGCCCAACAGACTCAGCCTGCCAGGGCACCAACATCTCGAGAGTTCTTTGGTAAGCAGGGATAGTGATCAGCCCCCCTCTTGTGGGCTCATGCACCCCACTGGTGGTCACTGAGTTCAGGGTCCAGGGCTCACCTCTCTTACCGCAGGCATGGGCAGCCCAGGCTGACTCTACCCACTCATCTGCAGGAGTCCACAGTGGTCTCCATTACCAGCTGAGCAGGCCCTCTCTGGAGCCTGAATTTGTAGCTGCTCTCAGCCTGGTTCAGAACCCATCCCACGCCTTGCCTACGAGCCAGACCCAGATCCAGACCTGCCATCCCCACTAGAGTTGGATAGACAGGAATACAGATGCACCTGAGACTTGATGAACACAGAGGGGTATTGAGGGACAGACAGGAGGGGGCAGGGATGACTGTCCAGAAGACAAGACAAGGGCGACAGAGGAAAGAAGATAGACAGAGGGGCTAAAGATGGGCGCGGGAACCCAGGGACAAGGGCAGGACTGACCAGCCCAGAGCATCATAACCCAAGGGAGGCAGGAGGAGATGGACAGTTCAGGATAGCTGCCTTCGCTCAACCCTGCGACCGAGGCTAGAGCCTTGCTCCCCTCCATTTCCCCTTCGCTGCACAACCTTCGGGTCCTACCCAGGGCCAGCATGTAGCCCTCGAAGTTGTCGCTGCTGAGAAGGTTCCAGGTGCCGCTGAGGTCTGCTGGCATGGTCAGGGGTAGTCAGCCAAAGCCTGAAAGTCACAGGCAGAGCAGCCCTCTATTGTCAATGAGGCGGGGCTGAGGTGGGGAGGGGATCAGCGGGCAGGGATAGCGGCCGGCGACGCTGGGGGAGGGGTGAGCCCTGGAAGCACCCTGCTGGCTCTCCCTCCTAGCTTCCTTCCCCACCCTCCTCTGGTCCCATCCCCGCTCCTGTCACACCCTACTTTGGCAAGCCCTGTCTCCCTCGGGACTCCCTCCTGTTGTTTAACTCTAAACACCTCTGAACCCATAGTGTGTCCCAAGTCACCCTTCGTTCCCTGCCTCCATGTTAACCATGACTAAAGCAATGGTTTCACACCAAATACTGTGTCAACGGCAAGTAACAGCACATGCATAAGCCCAAGGGAACACATGGGCATCCCAATAAATAGGAACTTTTACCTTGCTCAGATTTAAAATGTTTTAATTTTTATTTATGTGCATATATCTATATGGGTGCATATACCATGTGTGTGCCAGTGCCAGAGAGGTAGATCCCCAAGAGATGGAGTTACAGGCAGTCTGAGCACCACACACCATAGTCTGAACACCACACACCATAGTCTGAACACCACCCACCATAGTCTGAGCACCACCCACCACCCACCACCCACCATAGTCTGAACACCACCCACCACAGTCTGAACACCACCCACCATAGTCTGAACACCACCCACCACCCACAATAGTCTGAACACCACACACCATAGTCTGAACACCACCCACAATAGTCTGAACACCACACACCATAGTCTGAACACCACCCACCATAGTCTGAACACCACACACCATAGTCTGAACACCACCCACCATAGTCTGAGCACCACCCACCACCCACCACCCACCATAGTCTGAACACCACCCACCATAGTCTGAGCACCACCCACCATAGTCTGAACACCACCCACCACCCACCATAGTCTGAACACCACCCACCACCCACCACAGTCTGAACACCACCCACCATAGTCTGAACACCACCCACCACCCACCACAGTCTGAACACCACCCACCATAGTCTGAACACCACCCACCACCCACCACAGTCTGAACACCACCCACAATAGTCTGAACACCACACACCATAGTCTGAACACCACCCACCATAGTCTGAACACCACACACCATAGTCTGAACACCACCCACCATAGTCTGAACACCACACACCATAGTCTGAACACCACCCACCACCCACCATAGTCTGAACACCACCCACCATAGTCTGAACACCACCCACCACCCACCACCCACCACAGTCTGAACACCACCCACCATAGTCTGAACACCACCCACCACCCACCATAGTCTGAACACCACCCACCACCCACCACAGTCTGAACACCATCCACCATAGTCTGAACACCACCCACCATAGTCTGAACACCACCCACCACCCACCATAGTCTGAACACCACCCACAATAGTCTGAACACCACACACCATAGTCTGAACACCACCCACCATAGTCTGAACACCACACACCATAGTCTGAACACCACCCACCATAGTCTGAACACCACACACCATAGTCTGAACACCACCCACCACCCACCATAGTCTGAACACCACCCACCATAGTCTGAACACCACCCACCACCCACCACCCACCACAGTCTGAACACCACCCACCATAGTCTGAACACCACCCACCACCCACCATAGTCTGAACACCACCCACCACCCACCACAGTCTGAACACCATCCACCATAGTCTGAACACCACCCACCATAGTCTGAACACCACCCACCATAGTCTGAACACCACACACCATAGTCTGAACACCACACACCATAGTCTGAGCACCACACACCATAGTCTGAGCACCACACACCATAGTCTGAACACCACACACCATAGTCTGAACACCACACACCATAGTCTGAACACCACACACCATAGTCTGAACACCACACACCATAGTCTGAACACCACACACCATAGTCTGAACACCACACACCGCCCACCATCCACCGCTACCCCATGGATACTGAGTACCAAACTCAGGTCCTCTGAAAGAGCAGCTAGTGCTCTTAAGGGCTGGGCTGCCTGTCTAGCACCTGCCTTGTTTTTGAGACAGGGATGCATGTAGCTTAGGCTGACTGGAAACTCACCATGTAGCCAAAAATGGCCTCATGAGCATATAATTCTGCTGTTTCTGCTGAGATCACACCTGTGCACCACACCTGTGCACCACATCTGGTTTATATGGTACTTGAGCTTATATACCAACTGAGCCACAACCCAGCTTTTTTTTTGTTTTTGTTCTGTCGAGACAAGGTTCTCTGTGTAGCTTTGGAGCCTGTCCTGGAACTTGCTCTGTAGACCAGGCTGGCCTTGAACTCACAGAGATCCGCCTGCCTCTGCCTCCCGAGTGCTGGGACTAAAGGTGTGCACCACCAACGCCCGGCCCCACATCCCAGCTTCTTAGCCAGCATTTCTGTGACCACTAGACACCTATGTGACACAGAATGTGACCCTGGTGACCTTTTACCTCTGGTTTGATATCACTGTCATGACTTGGCTTTCAGATGTCAGCCAGGTGGAAAAGAGTAGGAAGGAGCACACACGCACCATCATCCCCTCAGGAGAAACCTCCTTAGCACAGTTATTTATCATCTACCTAACATGTCAATTACCGCTGCTAACTGCAAGGAGCTAACTGCAACTGGGAGATGTAGTCTCCATGATTTAGCCTCTACAGCAGAGAAAGGCAAAGGACAGAGGAGGAAAAGTGGACTAGCCTACAGCGTCAGCCATAGAGAGCATCCATATTCACTGTCTCCAAAACCTACAACCATGCTCATCCTTGTAATCCCAGAACTTTGGATGCAGGGTCAGGAAAAACAAGAGTTCAAGGCCACCCTCAGCTAATAATAATACAAACTTACATAATAAGTTTGAAGCCAACCTGGGATGTATGAGAACCTTTCTTACAAGATGAAAAATAAAAGGTGGTGGGGTGGGGGTGGGGTAGATGGATGACTCAGCACTTAAGAACACTTACTGTGTTTCAGAGGACCCGAGTTCAGTCCCCAGCACCCACATGGAGGCTCACAACATCTGCAACTCCAGACCATCTGGAACACCAGTTACAGGGAATTAGATGTCCGACCTTCTAGACTCTTAATAGTGATTCTGGAACCTATGAACCAGTTAAATCTCTGTCCCCTTCATCTGCAATTCAATCCTATCCAGAATAGGTGGCCTTTGCTCAAGCTGGCCCAAAGCCTTTCCTTTCCAGTTCAAAGGAGGAATTTTCTGCCAACACTGCTCTCTGCAGAGAGGAATTTCCGAGTAGACACACCTGGCCCCCTTCCATGTCCTGTTTCTTCCTCACGGCACTGAGGTGAGTGTCCCATGACTAAAGGAGGGCCCAAGACATAGGACTTGACTCTGAAACTGCAATCTGGAACTTGTCCTTGAGGCTATTGAACTAATTTAATCAACTAGAAAGAATTAACTTGAAACTAACTTGGAATAGAAAGACTTCTAGGTCTGGAGTTCTTACTCAGTTGCTAGAGTGTTTGCCTGGCATGTGCAAACCCTGGGTTCATTCCCTAGCATTGCATGAATAAGGCATGGTGATACATGGCTACAGTTTCAAAGGTCATCTTAGCTATTAGCAAGTTTGAGGCCAGCCTGGGCTACCTGAGACACTGTCTTAAAAACTAAGAAAAACCAAAGACAAACCAAAAGCAAACAAATAAATTAAAAACGAAACAAATTCCCCTGAACTTTGAAAGCATCTCTCTTTCCAATTCACAGCTTTCCATTAGAAATGCTGCTCCAAAGTAGATTAATAGAATTAGTGTTTAAATCTCCTCCTCATCCAACAACAACAACAAACTTAGTTCAGGAAATAAAGTTGGCTTGGGGTTTTAGGTAAGGATACATAAGGCCTTAGGTTCAATAACCAATGCAGAGTGATAGAGGTCACAGGCATTTGGCCACAGAAATGACTAGTACTTGCCTCTGTTTCCCCTGTTGACTGCCTTTTTTCTTGCAAGGCAGAGAGAGATTGACTGTGTTCACATCATTTATGACTAGTATCCCCAGACCTTGCATTATGCCTGGCAAGTGCTCAATACAAGCTTGACTGATTAACTGAATAAATGAATGTGAACTTTTCCAAGGGAGAAATGCTCTTTTTACTGAGAAGCCAGGGTGGGAGCATGTATCAGAAAGGGCTGTAAATGCTCTTACATCAATCAAGTGGCTTATCTTGAAATTTGAGGAATACATAACCATGAACTCTGCGCAGACTTCTGGAGTATGGAACAGGACATAAACAGAACATTACCTACTTCCTAGCCTTAACCATCTTATTGTTCCACAGCCTGACCTAAAGCTGTACCTAATAATACTCTTAGCCTTTGTGCCCGTTACTATGGCTTTGGGCCAGCTCGAGCAAAGGCCACCTATTCTGGATGGGATTGAATTGCAGCTGAAGGGGACAGAGATTTAACTGGTTCATAGGCTCCAGAATCACTTTTCTCTGATTCAATTCTAAGAGTTTCACTCTAGGTAGGACCAGAAATTTTCACTGGAAAGGGAAGAAAATCAAAGAAGGAAGGTATTTGCCTCCATATCCTGTGCTAACACTAGTGACTCCACCATAAACATACAGACAAGATGAGGCTTTGAACCTGCACATAGAACTCCTTAATAGAAGCTGGATGCAAGCTGATGGGGACACTTGGAGTGGGAATTCTCTGTCATTTGACAGAGTTTGATGCTGATCCAAGAAAAGCCGGGCATGGTGATGAATCTCCCACCATGCACACTTCTCCTCCCTACTGTCAGGAAACAGTAGCATCAAGGGGTGTCTTCAATTCTGGAGACAGACCCAAGTTAGTATAAGGCTAACCCACTCACCATAAGTCCTTTGCCGAGGATTGGTTTTAAGGATATGAAGCTTTCAACAAACTTGAACCAAGTGGGGAATTATGATGGGCTCCTGAGAGAGATGTCTGATTTTAACAAAGTAGTTGGGGACTCAGCCTTTCTTCATG